TTTTTTTTTTTTTTTTTTTGCTCCTATATAATCAATAAATGACTGTTCGTGCGTGAGAAAAGACGTCTAGCGATGGATCTTCCCGACCTGAAAATTTTGTTTTCAAAATGTCGTCTCACCATCGCAGCCGGTTTTGTCACTGTTGTCGTTGTCGTGGTCGCTGGTGTGTGTGTGTGTGTGTGTGAGTGTGTGTGTGTGTGTGTGTGTGTCTCTGTGTGTGTCTGTGTGTGTCTGTGTGTGTGTGTGCAATGATAAAAGAGCGTTGCTTGTAGGCTTCAATTTTTCCTTCAAATAATTTCATATTACTACATCTTTTCACTTTAGTACTTAGTGAACTTAAATGTTTGCATCATCATCAACTGTTATGTCTATTTCTGTCTGTAACTGCGCTTTCAATAGCAGATTTTGATACTGCTACTTCTTACCAACGAATTTTATGACCGCAGCTTTTGTATACAGTTCAGTAGCAGCGAAACTTGTTAGCTGTTGTTCCATAGTCTTTGTAGTTTCTAAATATTCTTATCTTTCGGAGTGTCGATAGGCTGATTGGTTGACTATATTGATGAATAAAATACTAGACTAAAGCTAAGCTGCAAACAGCAATAAAGTCTGAAGAATTAATGATGATACGGTGCATAATTTTGATCACGAGTCTGATTGAAACAAAAATGCAGAGGACGTTTGTAAACGTATTTGGTTCTTGTTCTCTTCTTCTTCTTTTCCTTTTTTTTTTTTTTGTCTTTACAACTTTTTTTCATTATTTATTGTTGACATTAAACTTTTAATAAAAATTACTGACTGTCGCTTGTATTTGATGTAACTGAAAAAGGAATTTTCTTCTACTTCACTCATTCAGCACTGCGTCGGTTTGAATTTTTTTTTCCCGAAACAGGCGCGCTGATAAATTGTTTTCTACTAACTTATTTGTCCGCAAATTGAACGCAGAATATTTGTCAAGCAAACAGTTTGTTGAAGAAGAAGAGAATTCAGTGTTATATGGAAATTTTGAGTATTAATTTTAAAGTGCTGAATGAAAGTCTTGGATAAAAATTAACTGTTTGTTGGAATGTGTAACGGACGACAAGAAAAAAAAAGAAGAAAGAAATGAGATAAAAATTTTCGTAATTCTTCTTTTAATGACTAATTTTTTTTTGCACAACGCTATTAATGGTAATGAATTCGTCTTAAAAATATAAAAAAAAATTACAAAAAAGAAATTATTTTGTTTGAGAACAACAGTAGGAGTTGGACTAATTTTTAAAAAATAGATTATCTTCAAAAAAAGGAAAAAAAAAAAAAGGAGAAACAGTTCAGTCCTCATAATATGCTGCTGTACAGATTTTATGTATTGTGAGTTACCAATATCCTTGTGACTGTGATATAGACAGCAAAATTAGACTATACTATAGAAAAAATTTGTTCAGGAAGAGGATGCAGCTATTTTTCATGGAAAATGTCAATAAAAATAAGCTTAAAAGGTTTCGAAAATGTATAAACCCCAAAAAAACACTGCTGTGTTTATACAAGTGAAACAAATTTGAACGCTGTGTGGGAGGTAATTGCTTTAAAAAATGAATGTTTGTGTTTTTTTTTAAGATGTTAAAAAATTTCTTCGAATCGCTAAGGGTGATGGCTTATTTCTTAGTTTATTCTTTAAAAAAACTTTAACCCGGATGTAAAAAAAAAAGCCATGAGTTTTCAAATATTGGTGAGAAAAACACTGTTAGTGTGAAGCTGTCGCTTCATAAGTGTGGGAGGTTGAAACAATGTCAGTGCTGTTATAATGTTCGTTGAACCGAGAATCCTGCCTGTCAAAAATTCTTGTTTAAAGTTTATGAAACAATTGTGAAGCGATTATTACAGATGAAAATTGGACAACTGGTTACAAATATTTTATTTTTACTGAAACGAATTACTTTTATAAAAAGTTTTCTGCTAACTATTGCAGTTGCTGTTATACCTCTGCATGTGAAGTACAAAAATTTTTATCATTTGTTATTTATTAGTAAGGAAGAAAAAAAAAAGAAGAATTAGCAGTACAGACAGCTTTTTATAGAAAAAGTTGACCGTAAATAAAAAGCTTTTTTGAATGTAAATAAGTAGAAAATTTGTTTAAAAATTTGATGCATTTATTTATAAGAAGTACTTCATTAAATTTGAAAAAAAAAAAAGTAGTGTAAAAATATTAGTTTTTTAGCTTTGTTTTGTAATGAAAAAGCAGATGAAAACTGCTGAATCTTATAGGCTTTTTGTTAAGTTATTGTAACATAAAAACTGTAACTGTTTCTGTTTTTTTTTCGCTTCGATATATAACTGAACTGTTTTTAATAGTTCCGGGAAAAAGTGGGAACTTGAGAAGAGTATTTTAGTTGCTGATGATTAAGATGTACTTTTGATAACCCGTCATCAGCAATGCCCAATGACATCTGTATTTGCATGAATGCTATTATCACTGATACTATCTATCAATCATTGTTTAAGCAACAGTTACTTCTGTGAACTGCTGTTACAGGTTCTATTCAGTTTTGATATAATATGCAATTTTTCAATTAAAATGATATTTTTTCTCTTTTTAGAAGAAAAAAAAACCTTTTACTAAAGAAAACCTGTTTTTTGGTACACCTTTTCAATCCACAACCAAGAAGCTTATAGTCTAAGTGTAACAGAACAAAAAAAGACTACTTTCAACTGTATATCAACGTTGCTTTTTGTCGTTGTTGCTTCTGCAGTCTCTCTATACTTTAAGTTTAAAAAGTTAGTAAAGATTCTGCTGTTTTTTTTTTTGGTTTTGTGTTTGTCTTGTTCCATTTTCATTATATACACAGTCTTCACTTCAGTTCTGCTATTAATAGTGAGTATTTTAATAAAATTTACAAAGCAAAAAAAAATACAATGACTAATTTATAAGGTTTTTAAAAAACTATTAATAAGTAGCTTTAATGAATACAAAGAGAGCAAAAACACCTTTGGTCGCTGTTTTAATTGTTGTTTTAATAATCGTTAATTTGTTTTTTTTTTTCTGTTTTTGACCAATAATTTAGACAGTTCTTTGCTCTTATTGATCACATCAAACCATATAACTTGTAATTTGGACATTTAATTAGTTCGATGCTGTGTTTCTAATTCTTCTTCTTTTTTGACGTTTAAT